CCCTCCGCACGTCATTCCTTTAGACAACTCATGCTCAGGCTTTGCTCTGGTGGCAACGCCCCAAAACGCCTTTGTCCCACACTTTGATTTGGACCCTTTAGTGCAGACAGGAGGCTCATTTCCTTCTACGAATAGCACAGCGGCGACCTCAGGCAGCTCGAAGCAGGGACGAAGAGGTCTAGACTTTAAGAAACCAGCGAGGCATCGTATGAGTGGAGAGTGGTTTTATGGGTTCATTTGTGGATAGTTACCTTGTACATATATTTCCTGGACCCTTCTCTATGCATTTCGTACAATTTTGGGAGAAAAGGGAAAATTAATCTATGCCAAAGTTTATAGACATTTGAGCTACTCACAAAAACTAAAAAAAAAAAAACAACCAACCAAACAACAACAGAAAAACAACTCGAGACCCTTTCACAGACCGTCCATGCTGGGTATTTGAAAGCCCTTGTCTGTCTTTTCTCTCCTGAAATAAATCTCCCACTTTCCCAAGCCTTTCCAGGAAATAAAGGAGCCGGGGTGGGAGGTTATTTCAGGCAGCGAATGTGCAGTGGTCACGAGGTCCTGCTCTCTCCAGATCGCCCCATGCCTGCCAGTAGGGCTCAGTCCCTCCCTCATTCATCCCTCCTCACAGGCCAAGGTGCACACAGGCACCGAGCAAGGCTGGGTGCAGTTTATTGAGGGAGATCCGGGGCTTATTCTAGGATAGGCCCCTTTTGCCCATGGTCTTCTTGAGCCAGTCCAGGTAGCGGCAGACGTTGGTGTAGACGCCAGGTCTCTCAGGCTGCCCGCAGGGATCCGAGCCCCAGGATGTGATGCCCTGGAGAACGCCACCACACACCAGCGGGCCTCCGGAGTCACCCTGGAGGGGGAGTGAGAGAGGGTCACCCCTACGTGGCCACAAGTTTCCCTTTCCTTCTGCACAGCCCCGGAGCAGATCCCAAGGGCAATGGCGGCCGTCTTTGCGGAGACCACTGTCTCTAGGACAATCCTGATACATTGGCTTTCAGGGCAGTATCACTGACCGAGGGATTCCATTCCGGGCCAATGGGAAGGAAGCACTGTCGGCAGGGACCAATCACTAGCAAGGGGGCGGAGTTTCCATGAAGGGATACCGAGGGGAGGGGCGGGCTAAGGACACGGAGCAGCTGGGACGGCGCCCAGAGGAAGGAGGGTTCCGTCTGTGCTGACTCCCAGGAGGAGACGGGGAGCTGGGCCCGGGGGCGCTGCGGTGAGCAGCCCAGGCCCCGGCCAGCTGAGAAGGCGGCCGCCGTTCCCCACGGAATCAGTCCCAGGGAAGGAAGCCTCTTCTGGGAAGCACGTCAGATCTCAAGGAGGAGCGGCTGACTGCCTGGGCCGTGGGAGTTTGCACAAGTCCCAGGAAAGACAGCGGTGAGCTGGCCTGGCCTCCACCCTCAGGCTGTCCTCGGTGGGCTGCCCCTTCACTCCCCGTCTGCACCCCACCCTGCAGGCAAGGGCTCCCCTGGAAATGACTGATGGTTCAGTGCTCCTGACCTGGGAGAGCTAGGCAAGCTCTCGGGTCCTGGCTGGGTGGGGCCAGCCCCCACCCACCCTACCCTGGCCAAGCTGCGTCTACAGGGGTGTGAGGGCTGAGGAAGGGCTCACCTGGCACGTGTCAGCCCCGTTGCTGCTGCCCGCACAGACCATGCCGTCTGTGACCTTCCCCGGGTAGGCGGCCTCACACTGCTTCTGGGGGAAGATCTCCACGTCCGCACAGTTGAGGGTGTCAGGGAAGTTCTCTGAGGGGAGAAGCAGAAGTTCCCTGAGAGAGCAGCCCCCCATCCTGGCTGGATCTAGCTCCCTTCTGTCCATCTGCAGCTGGATGGGGAGTCTCCTGACACATTTCCCAGGGTGCAGCTTCTCGCACCAAATCCAGTTGCACCCCTGCTATCTGCCCTCCAGCCGGGGAGCGCCCTTGGAGCCTACCATTTGTTTCTCCCGGAGTCATTTCCAAGTCAAGGTGCAGCTGACTGAGGGGACTTGGAGGTGGCCCCTTCTAGACCTCCCATGCCCCTCCCCCAATCTTCCTGCCCCCGTGTTACCAGGTCCTCCATCTCTGCTAAATGCTACTTCTTCCAAATATTGCCTCCTCCTAGAAGCCCTCTCTGATCACTCCAGTTAAAACACCACCCCTTGGAACCAGCAGGTGGCATGGTGGGTAAAGCACTGTACTCCCACATGGCCAATTGTGGTTCGAGTTCCGGACCTGGTAGCTTGAAAACCACACCAGACATGTGTGCATGCATGCTCAACCCCCAGGAGGAAAATGAAAGAGAAGGGATTGCAGCGTGGCCATCCTCCTGGGGGTGATTTCTCATCACTTTCTCTCTCACTGTCTCTCTTTTTCTCTCTGGTGAGCATGTGCCCTATGGCAAAAACCTTAAAAACAAAAACAGAATAGGGACCAAGAATTACGTTGCTGGACTCCCACATAGTTGGCATTGATAGCGGTTTGAGTCCCAGATTCGGTGGCTTAAAACTCAAGCCAGGCACATGTATGTGCATGCCTCAGATCCTAAGAAGATAAAGGAGAAGGGATTGCCATGTGGCCATCTCCCCTGGAGGTGATTTCTCGCTTTCTGTCTCTCTGGCAAGCACATGTGCCCTATAGCAAAAATCTCTCTCTAAAACAAAAGCAAAGCAAAACAAAACACCACTCGTCCATCGATCCCTCTCCTTTTGCCCTCCACCGGTTTCGTCTCAACACTTAACTCTGCCGACTATTTTATTTTATGTGTATTGCTTATTGTCGGTTTCCCTTACCTAGCAAGCAACTCCCTAGGGACAAGGAATTTGCAGAGCTTGTTCGTGACTACCCAGTGCCTGCCACGGCCGCTGGGCATATCGGGTGCTCGATACCTACGTGTCGGATTAATGACTAGGGGTGGAATTAAGCCTTCTTATGAAACTCCCCTGAGGAATGGACTTGGGAAAATCCTCCACCTGGCTCCTCTGTGTGTCAGGAGCCAAATGCTCACAATCTCAGGTAGTCCCTGCACCAGCTCTTTGAAGCAGGGATGTGTAAATCCAGCCATTCAACAAATACTGACAGAGCGCTGACTACACCACACACCATCCTGAGCACTAGGGACACACACACACACACACACACACGAGTCAGTGCAGCCCGAGCCCTCGGGGCGCTCAAAAGTCTCCTGGATAATGTTCTCTTTTTGCAGACAAGGAACATGAGGCCAAAGGACAGGAAGGGACTTGCTCTGGGAGAGTTGAAGAGTCGCGGTTCGAACTGATCCAGTTCACAGATGTCCTTCCATAGCATTGCACTGTGTCATTCAGAGGAGGAATCAGGGACGCAGGGACGCAGAACCTGGACTCCTGCTTCCTGGAGGACCCTACTGCCTCTCGCTCCGAGCTGAGACCCAGGCTTTTCACCACCAAGCAGGGTGAGGGGCTACCCAAACCTGGAAGCCCCAAGAGGGCCCTGCATTCTGGTCCAGAGTGAGGAGGGAGCTGGGGACCTAGACTGATGGAGCCTGGGGTGGGAAGGACCTGGACGCCTGGGTCGGGAAGAGGGATCTGGAGCCAGGTCTCCTGGGCTCAAGAGGGAGATGGCTCTTCGAAGCCTGTTCTCCGAGGCCCCCAAGGAGCTCGTCCACCCCAGGTGATTAAGATGACATAAACTCCTCTGCAGCACACGGTCTCACAGGGTAGTGCTCGCCCAGGAAGAAGGGCCTTTTTAAAAGAGGTCTTTTCCCTTAGAGCACCTGTGCTCACCCGCACGTGAGAGAGACAGAGACAGTGAGAGGGAAAGTGAGAAATCACCTCGGGGGGGGGGGATGACCATGCTGCAAGCCCTTCTCCTCCATTCTCCTGGGATCTTGGGCACGCATGCACATGTGCCCAGCATGATTTTCAAGCTTCGAATCCTGGACTCAAACCTCCGTCAACCTTTCATGAGTCCAGAGACATAACTGCTACACCATCTGCTAGTCCCACGGAGGGAGATTTTTTCTTTTTTTTTTTTCACTATAGGCGCATGCACTTGCCAGACAGACAGAGACATAGAGACAGAAAGCGAGAAATCACCCCCCCCGGGGGGATGGTCACGCCGCAATCCCTTCTCCATTCTTCTCTTGGGATCTTGGGCACATACGCACACGAGCCCGGCGTGAGTTTTAAGCCACCGGGTCTGGGACGCGAACCGCAGTCGACTACGTGGGAGTCCAGCGACATAGCCATTACGCCAACTGCTGGTTCCCCCACGGAGGGACATTTTTGAGCCCTGCGTAATAACCTGTCCGTTTGCTCTCCCACCCGCTCCTGCCCATAGTGCGGCCCTGGAGACTCCCAGCGGGGCACACTGCGAATGTCACCTGCTACCATCACTTCCCTTTGGTCCCCTCCTTGGGAGCAAGGTCTGCCAATGGCTTTCCGTCCTTTGAGTCAACCAGCACTTCCTCTCCCTCCCAGGAGTGGCCACGCCGACTACCTTGGGGACTGGTGACAGTGCCCCAGCCCGAGATGGTGCACATCTGGCCAGCTTGGGGACAGTAGTTCGTGAGGTTGATGGGCTTGACTCTGGGCCCCAGGGAGGCCCGCGTGCGCAGTCGGAGCAGCATCAGGTCATGGCGGTGGTCCTCGCTACTGCCGTTGTAGCAGGGGTGCGGGATAGACTGGGCCACGGCGATCTCCTGCTCCTGCCGGTCCCGGCTCTGCAGGCTGTGGTCTCCCAGACGCACCGTGTACTTCCTACGACGGTAGCGGAGTTCAGGCTCCAGCCCCAGCTCAGACCCAGGAGACAGCGCCCGGCTTTCTCCGTCCTGGGTCCAGCCCCCACGCGCCCCCGTCCCGCCCACCCACTCACAGTTTTTGACAGTGGGCCGCGGTGAGGACCCAGCGGGCGTCGACGAGCACGCCCCCGCAGAGCAGCCGCGGGCCCTGGAACAAGGCGGCCTGCCAGGGCTGCGAGTGGGGCCGGCACTCCTGGCCCCCCAGCACCTTGGACCC